CACTGATTGTTACCTGATTTCTTAAACATTTATTATTAATCAACTTAGTCGACTAACTTGATTAATAAAGTGATTATTGACTTAAAATTCAAAGTCATTAACTTAGTCGAGTCGTTAGCATCCCTAGTTGGAATGCACTAGCTTACAATGAAAAGTTTTTTTATGCCAAGTAACCCTTTTTTGAATTTCTAACAAAGATTATAAATCAAGTTATTTCAGTTTTAATAGTAGTAGAATTGTTCAAATTAGTTTGATAGATCACGAGTTATTGGCATTTTTCCTTTATAACTATATGACTTTTACATACTGGCAGAAACTTTAACATCATATAAAAGTAATAGTAATCCTTCGTCAATTTTTACTATAAAATTTATGCCTTCAACTGCTTAAGCAATTTATCATATTTGCATAACTGATAATATTTTGCATCTCGATTTCTTAATGCAAATGCGCTATCTGAATTAGCACTCAATGATTTATTTATTATATTTACCTATCATACGATAGGTTATCCGCAATTTCTTAATGTTAAAGTATTATAAGGTTCAGTTTTTTAATGATTAATTTAATTCTGCAAGCACTTCGTAATATCTAGTCACAATGCATCACGCCTTCATAAGAAAAATACATTATTTAGATCGATTTATTTAAATCTAAAAGTAAATATTCATATCTTTTCATCATTGTCTGGTCCAATAGTTAATTATTTGGATAAATCTTCGAGTAATTCTGCATATTTGTTTATCATGCAATAGGTTTCTTCACGATTTCTTAGTATGTTTGCTCTATTTTAACTGATTTTTAATAATTCATTTGGATTTGTTAATAAATCCTCATATGATTTAGGGGAATTTACAAATAAGGGAAAATAATGTATAGTTATTGGATTCGAAGTAGCCAATGACGGAAATTATTTGGAAAATAATTTCATTATCTGGCTGTGAAATTTAATATGTCAGCTTCTGGGCCCTGAAATGATGCATATTAAATTCACTGTCAGATAAACGAGTTATTGGCCGAGTAGCATTCAATAATGGTATTATCTGATGTCTTACTATGATTGTACCAACAGAATGACTCGAGTTCTTTTGATGATGATTGCGTCATCATCAAATAACAGAGTTATTTGATAATGATGCAATCATCATCAAAATAACTCGAGTTATTCTGTTGGTACAATCATAGTAAGGTGCCAGATAATTACAAATACGGGCCCAAATTAAAAATAATTACACAAAAGGGCCTAATTTCTAAAAAATCTTATATATAAGGGCCCAAACAATAGCGACATTATTTAAACCTATGGCTTGATCGTTATTAGTAATTATTAAGTACATAAAAAGTGGAACAATCGATTGTAAATTAGTAATTATAAACAAGAATAAGAAATTTGATAAATTTCATAAATTTTATTTTCTTTATATAAAATCGGTTATTGTTATAACAACTACTATGATATCAAGCAAAGTACTGCGAATTGAAATAACATTTACTAATATGAAGATAATTATTCTGTTCTTGAGAATTACTCTGTTAAAACTTCATCATCTTATAAATAATTGTGTTAGTTTAACATTATTTTTTATACAATATTTAAGCAAAAATAATTGTAACCAGTGCTTTAGTTATTTTTTAATTTAATAATTGATATATAGATAACTCTAAATGCCTATAATAAAATAAACAATAACTTTATACATAATCATAATTTGTTATTGTTATAAGTCAATGGTCATAGTACTTTGTGGTACAGTAGTTCTGTAATTACATTTTTTATCCATCAATTGACTTAAATCTTTATATATAATATTTTTTAAAAATTAGGCTCTCATGTGTAATTATTTTTAATTTGGGTTTATATTTGTAATTATTTTTATTTTCTGGTCTTATTTGTAAATTTCCTTATTATTTATTATATAAATTTGTATAATATGAAGTATAGTTGGTAGTAGAATTATTGAATTATAACATTTTATTAAATAGTAAATTAATTATATTACAATACCTAATTTTTATAAATATTATATGTTGTATTGTCATAATATATATTGCTATATTGTTATAATGCTATAATAACATAGTATTGAAGCCATTCTTAAATATGTGTCAAGTTTTTGATATAGCAAAAATTCTTTAATTAATTATAGTTGTTGCAACAAAATTATTTTATTAAATTCTTAATTTTGATTAGCTAATAGACATAGATTTGCAAAATTTTGTCTTATATAGGGATCCTCATAGCAAAAGGTGATGATGAAGCAGCTAATTAGATTTTGAGAATTTATATTAATTATCTGCTTATAGGTTTAATCTTTTTAAAAATATATTTTTTTTATTAAATTTATTAAAAAAATAGTATATAAATACAGGATTTTTCTTTGTTATTGTTATAGTAAAATTTAAAGAAAATCAAATATGATCTGCATATAACTGATATTAATATATTATATTACAGTATATTCTTCAAAAAAATATTACTGTAGATCTGATATTTACAAAGTCAATTTCACAAAATTTTGTAAATTTTGAAATTTGTTAAATTGATAAAATAATATAAATCAACAAAATCAAAGAAAATGATACATTAGTATAAAAAGAGTAAATAGATATTTAAGATATAATTGAAAAGTATAAAAGTAACTCAAACTTTCTTTCAATAAAGAATATCTAACAACAAATAACTTAGTTCTTACTACTAAGCACATAAGTATATTGCTTTATTATCTTTCTGATAGTTAAAAGTTGTAAATGTTTAGTCTTGTAATTCTCAATTAGAGTTTCGTGACATACTCTAGAGCTCTAATTTAATGTTCTAATTATTTGGACCAAGTCTTTCCATGCCTCTTCACTGCTTGCTACTATTAGGTCTAGTTTAGATAGTGTTAGTGTAATATTTTGTAGTAGTTTAGTATTGTTTGTGAGTAGTTAGTATTAGTTAGACTTCTATAGTCTAATATTTTCTAATTATAAAACAGTTTTTATTTCTATAACATACATATTACTTAATACCCAAAGTTGTAAAGTATCTAAAATAATTCAAATATGTATATGTATATTATAGTACAGAAAATACTTATTTCATATATATATATATATTATACTATAATACAGAAAATACTTATTTTATATGTACTGGTACAATTGAAATTTATAAGAAATTTTTAGAATTTTTATATTTTATGCTTTTAACAAACATTTTTAAAGAATATGAAATATAACATTTGTTTTAATGATAGTAGTGTGAATAAAATTATTATTGATGTTTTAAAAAATTTGGACAATATATTTTTTGTAGAATGTTTAGATTCTGAAAACAATGAAGAACCTAACATTTCATTAGATGTTGAACTGATATCTGATAATGACAATGAAATTTCTATAAATATATTAAATGAATTCAGTTTTGTAGATGTATTGGATAATTATATTGAAGATAAAATTTATAATGAATTAAAATTAAAAGTTTAACAATTTTTTAAAAAAATGAATGTTTTTGTTATTTTAAACAATTATGTTTTAAACAAATTGGATATGAAAAGTTTCTTGCATATTAGGTTGAATTTGAAAGTTTAGATAAAAATATGCATAATATGGTTATAAAAAGACAACTTATAGCTTTTCAAAAAAGTAAAAATACAAAAAATGTAACTAATGAAAAAAGAAAAATTTCTATTTTAGTTATCATTATAATAGTGATATTTTAATTTGTCATAATACATACCTGGTTCTTGTTGAAGTTAGTCACAAATATTTAGAAAATATAAAATGATATTTACTAGAACATAGTCTTAAGAAATGCATATATAGTAATATTAGTAGAGCATTAAAAAATATGAAATGTGTTGAAATAAACTATAATATAGTATGTGATATATTTAAGTTTTAAAAAATTATTCCAATATACATGGTATGTCTTTATCTGGACAACATCTTAACTGAATTTCTATGCCAATTGTGTTTCTTTCAACCAATTTTAGTTATACATTAGTATATTATGATTATATCTAAGCTCACAAAAATAAGTATGAAAAGATGTTTGTATTATATTTAAAACAATCTTATTAGTACTTAAAAAATTCTAATATCATCACTTCAATTCATGTCTTCAAAATCTAACCTATGCGATACTTGTAAAATAATAAAAATGAATATTTAATATGTTATATAGCATTAAAAAAAATTAGAACTTACTAATAATTATTAAGCTCATTCGGATCATGTGCAAAAAAAAAGAAATTATTATAATACTAACATTAAAAATACAATTAAAAGTAGCAAAATAATAATAATCAGAATATAATTAGCTCTCAAGTATCTTTCAAAATCTTTAAAGGTAATACACATATTGCATATGATTGAATTCAGAATGTATAAATATTTTACTTGCCACAACAAGTAGGCTCTTTGTACTTTAAAAATTCTCAAAAAGTATATTTGTTTGAAGTTTGTAATATTAGAAATTTTCTGGATATATAGCAAACCAATTATATTATTGATAAAGCCAAAATATCTAATAATAATAAGCAGAAAAAAGGTGTAAATTGTACTTTAAGCTTGGTTTGGCATGCAATTTAAAAAGATAATTATAGAGAAAGCAAATTAGTTATCATATATAATAATTATACAGACAAGAATAAAAATAATTATTTATTATTTTTTTATTCATGGTTAGTTAACTGTAATATATATAATAAAATTAAACTAAATTTTATAATATCTGGATATATAAAATTTATTTGTGATGGTTGTTTTGGCCTAATTAAGATTTTTTACTGAAAAAGTAAAGTAAATACTGTTGATAATGTAGTTTCAATTGTTAATCATTCTACTTTAAACAATTTTAATGTTGTGCAGCATTACTTAAATGGAGAAGAATTTCAGTATTATAATTTTAAAATTTATTTTGAATCATTTAAAAAACTATTCACAATTCAAAAATATCATCATTTTTATTTTACTTTACAAAATTTCAAAGTTGTCTTTTATAAGAATAATCTTAATGATAATTACCAAAATTTTACAATTCATTCTTTTTCTTTTAATATAAATATCTTACTACTTACAATTAGTATTAGACCTCTTTCTTTAAAAAAACAAGAAGAATTATATAAAGAAATTGCACCTTATATAGATTTATCCTTTTGTAATATTACTTGCCCTAAACAAGAAAGTTTAGAATAAAGTATACTAAAAAATTCTAAGAACAAGTTCAAACAAATTCAACTTAAATTAGTGTTTTATATATATCAATCGCAATACTATTAAACATAATTATTAAATTAAGCAATTGGAAGTTTCAGTTTAACTCAGAAAAGCCCTTAATTATCATGTAATGTTCTGCAAAGCAAATAACAGTACATACTATAAAATAAGCATATAAATTTTTATTTTTACTTATGAGTTCTACTAATCCAAAAGACTAACTTTTTTTATTAATTCTTTTTAACTTTTGTATTACATTTTTATTATACCTTTTAAATCATATCTTATATTATATACTTTTAATTAATTATTTGCTAATCGCAAAATTATTCAGACTATCAATATTTATAGTTACAATTTGAATCATATAACACAATCGCAAAACACTTTCAACTTTCTTAAACAGAACTTTTCACTTTAACTACTTGATAACTTATTTCTATTTTTTTGTTTATATAATGAGCTTCATTATACAATAGCTCTTGGACCAAGCACAATAGTTGTCTAAAACTATGCAGCAATTGTGTTTTAAGAATAGAGTATATGATTTTCAAATTATATAGTATATAAAACTTTTGATAAATTTTTATTTAATTAAAAATAAAAAATATTTTCTTAAATAAACAGCTTTTAAATATTA